ATACAATTAAATTATAGAATCATATAAATTATGATGAACGTTGTGAATGCTATTAAGTTTAAGTCTAAAATAAATAAATTTAGATTTGTAAGACATATGTTATGAAAGAGAAATAGTAAATTTTATTCTTATTCAGTGTAAAGTTCAGGTTAAATTTATTATTTTGATTATTACTTTGATTTATTACTTTGATTACTTTAAATTACTTACTTGATCTAGCAACGCGAAGTTTTTTTTTTTTACATGAAAAATTTTTCTATTTAAATTAAATTTTTTCGTTTTATATGGTTAACTCTTTAATTTTTTGTGATAACACTTAAATTGAGCAAGGTAACGCAATTTTTTGATAATGTTTTGTATAATATTCTGAAGAAGAATTGAATAACCACTATTTTAGTTAGAAGAGTAAATGAAGAGTCTTTGAATGAATTGTGATATAATTTCTTTTAAGAGAATTTAAATCTTAATTTTAACATTTGGATTGGAATATCAATAACATATACATATACTTAGGTTTCATTTCATAAAAATTAAAGAAGTATCATTTGGATTAAGTAAATAATAATAAAAATAGTATCACTTAGGTTTTACTTTTGATTTCGATAGTATAATTTAACTTGGCGCCACAGTTGTTGATATCAATTCTTTTATACAAATGATATGTATTATTAGATTAATATTCATTATTTATTTAATTTTGCATGGATATGAAGAAATGGAATTTAACTTTACGCTAATTCTTGATATCAAATCTTTTAAAAGAATGATACACATCATTAAAGTTAATATTATTTATATAATTTGGTATTCGAATTACATGGAATTTAACTTGGCGCTAATTTTATTGATATCAAATCTTTTATACAAATGATTACATATCATTAGAGTTAAGTAAATAACAAGAGACAATTATATTTTACTTTTTTATTATTTAATTAGAAGAATTTAACTTGATTAGTTAAGATTGTAGTATCTAGATTTTAATTTTTGATTTGATACATTAATTTTTTTTCGAAGAGTAATAATTTTTGACAGAGAATTAAAGTTGCCATTATTTAGATTGGATTAAGAAGACCTTTAGGTTGGAATAAGAATATCTTTGAAGAAAAATTGAAACTATTATTAATTGAATTGATTATATACAAGTATTATATACAAAGAGTCGGTTTTATTAACTCGATTAAGCCGAATCGGCGATTAATTGTCAACCATAAATAATCAACCATCAATTTTACTAAACAGCAAACATAAACACAATTAGTTAGTTCCACGGCCAATTAAATAATTAGCGTTGGTGAAATCGGTCCAAATGGTTTTTCACGAAAAGGTATACGCACGTATATTTAGAGCTTTTTTTACCTTTTTTTAAAAAAGTTAAATGTAACACCATATGCTCTGATTTAATTAACGATATTATGCATGATTTTTATTCAGCTGTTTAATCTATCAATATTATATGGATTCTGCATATAATCATATTTTGTAATAACTTTAAAATTATGCTTTAACAATATTGTTTTCGACTGGGATTATTTTTTCATTTCTAAATGCTCTGATTGCCTTTTCTCGCCGTTAATCGGAGAATTAGTTGTATTTATAACATTACATTGTTTTACAATTTGACTTAATAATGGGTGCTTATCATTTTTTGACATTTGATGACACAAATCGACACAAGTATCTTTTTATCTTTGTCACTCTCTATATCATAGAATGACGCTTGTGTCAAATGAACTTGTGTCAAATGGAAATTCATTTATGTTTCATGGTTGTTCTCGATGCGTGTAAGTGAATGTGAAATGATCCTCATTATATAATATTGTGCATTCGATCATTAACTTTTATTATGTATTAGTCTTTCATAGTATTATAATTTATCACCCCCTTCATGGGATTATAATTTATATTATAGCTAGTGGTTAAATCCGTTTTGGATTTAAATCAAGCCAAAATGTTCCAACGTTTCAAACGTGAAATTTATATGGTTAGAATAAATATTATCACATTGTACACCGAATATAGCACGTTTTAATTTGTGACCTAGTTTGTTTCTATATTTAATTTGTAAGTAACACGAATGTAAAGAGTGATATTAATTATTAATTTTTATAATTATAATACCTGTTCTTTATTATTTTGCGTACTGATTATCACGCCGTACTCTCATTCGCCCTATTGAATTCTACTATTGGTTTTGAATTTGAAAATTCGTATCCACATTACTTTTTGAATTGATAGATAAATAATAAAATTGCAACATTTTAGATTAACAGAATATGATGCTGACTAATAAAATTCTGTCTAAAAAAATACTTTTTTATAAAATTCCTTAATTAATTGTTTTTCATAATTTATATATTATATGAATTGTGATAACTATTGTATTATGAAAATATATTAACTTAACTGTAAAATCAATTTTCTAACTGCAATGATTTCAAAAGGATTCTTTTTTAGCAGAAAAATTGCGAATGTCGTTACCAACTCTTAATAAAAATCATTTTTAATCTTAATACACATCTCTGGGTCATTCGTGTTCTGCTCATTTCTTTTTTTTGAAATACTAAGAGCATCTGTCAAATACGATCTCTTTTTTATTTTTAAAAAAAAGTTTGGCATCTAGAAAAGAAGTTTTGTGCGTTACCAGCCTCAATTCGTATTCTTTAACTGGCACTGGCATAATTCCGAAGTTCATCTTTGGGTCACAAATGACTCAAGGTGTGTACAAAGTGTATTTTCTGTGACTAAAAAAAATTTTTTTTTCTTTTATTTTAAACTAATTCTCGGTTGTATTGCGAGAATATTTCGCGAATTATTAAAAAAAAATTTAACTAACACATATTAGTCTTCAATAAATTTTTACCTTTGTTCTAAATGTTGTCAGTAATATTATGTTCTTCTTATGTGTATCTGTAATGTTATAAAGAATATTGTCCTAATAAATTATAAATTTTTTTAACATAATTTAATAGCACTAATAAAATCCATTGTTTTAAAATGTAAATACTATATATCTTCAATTTATGGCCATTTATGTATTGTATATTAAAAAAACATCATTTTCAGGTTACTCAACAATTAAACTTTTTAGATAACCGATTCTTGAACTATATTTTTTCTTGTTTGAAATGTCAATTTTAAGATATTGAACCATATTTTTCCTTTAAACATTTTTGTTTCAGAATTTTACATTTTTATATGAAACAGTGCATTTTTCTCATTTTGTTAACTATATTTAGTTACAATAATTCATCTACAATTTGTTATGAATATATAACAGCACAAATACTTTCTAAAGATGTCAAAATATATATAAAAATTGTTTAATAATTTATACATACTTGTAAAAGTGAAAATTAAGCCAAGACATGAATGATCAAACGTATGTATTAAGGGTGCCAAAACTAACTATACTAAGGATTAATCCTTATCCGTTGTTATAATAGTGCTATAATTGGTAATTAGCTTTATTCCCCGTTGAGCTATGTCATTATTTGAAAATTGCAATTAGAAAATTGATTTCATAGCTAAATTAATATATTTTTGTATTAGTTATCGTTGTAATTTATAATATAAATTATGAAAAATAAGTGTGTAAAAATAATCAATGATGAAATTTTAAAAAAGTATATTCTTTCCGACAGAATTTCATTTGTTAGTCGGCACCATTCCTATTCTATTAATTCCTATTCTAAAATTTTATGTATTATTTATCTATCAATTCAAAATGTAATATCGATAGACTCTCCAAATTCAAAACTAATAGGAAAATCCAAGGCCGAGAGTACGGCGTAATCAGTATACAAAGTAAATATACATACTTATTACTCTTTGATTTCATTAATTCAAAAATCCATAAATTATATGTTTTGACTTTCTTTAGAATCCTCCTCAGCAATTACAAAACATAATACGTCCTTTCTTGTCTAAGTCTAATTCTTCTAAGTCTAATCTGAGTAATCAATAAATTTATAGATTTGTTGTTGCAAACATCTGTTAACATTAAATTGTCCATAAATTGAATTAAAAATTTTAAAAAATTTGAAAAAGTAAGAAAAAGAAAATGATTTACCTCAACATACAAAGAAACCGTCTTAAAACTTTGGATGAAATTAAAAGATACATAAAATTAAGCATCATTGCTGCTTAAATATCACTGCAGAAATAAATCATTTAAATAACAATTCTTACAAGTAACATGCTTACAATAAAGCGTCAAAAACATAATTGATAAATTTCAATCCTAACGTATCGGTCAATCAGATAAATATTAAAAGAAGAAAAAACAAATCAAAAATAAAAACAATTAAGTCGCATTATACAAATCGAAAATTAAAAATTATTATCCTTTGAAATCTGTAAATAAGTGTGGTGTAAATCTTCAATATCCGTTCATAAATTATTCATTCTTTTACATATGTATGTAAAGGCATTCAGATATTAATCGTTTATTAAAAAAACACTCATCAAGTACTTCAATACTCTCTCAATCAAAATCATGTTCGTAATTAATTCTATGCACTATAATCACTGAATGATTATTGATATTCTAATTTATGTGATTTTGATGCTCTAAAGTTTTAGTTTCCTTTCAGTCTCTATAATGCGTCACAAGCATTGCGTAAAATTTTATAGACAACATTTTTCTTTACGTCCCTTGGAAGAATGCCTTTTGCACCCTAATGAACTTACCCAATTTATTCAACTAGTTAATGTCAACTAGTTAATGTCAATTTGTATTAAAAATATTTTCTAAATATGTTCCATATTTGTCTATATTATATTCATTGAAACAAGTTTAGATAAGATCTTCAAGAGAAAAATCAAATGACACAAAAACAGGGACTCGGACCGAAATTACATTATGGATACGTTGTGGACACATTAATTCGGCTGGTTACGAATATGGCCTGAGGATACCCAACTTTCAATTTCGAGGTCGGTTTTTTTAGTAAACGATGACCGTTATGGATAATTACCGAAAACCGAAACCGAAAAGGACCGAAATTAAATTTAAACGAACCCGGTAATCATTAAAGAATCTGTAAAAGAATTGGAACTAAAAGTTGGATTTAGTCTCAGATTGTTTATCTGGATCGAAGTCTCAGCGGAAAAGAAGGACCATCCATAAGCATATAGGCATATATACTGAAATTAAACTAATTTTTATTTTTTAATCATTAATTGAGGAACAATTCACCTAATTGTTTAATTAGCCGTATAAAGTCTCAAATGATGCAGAAAAACAAGACATATGTTAAGATAAATAAGAAAAATTCTCTACGCTGAATTTTTTGGAAAATATGCTTTAAAAACCAATGTTGATAGTGTAACCAATATAAGAGAACTCAAATGTTTAACAAGCTGTCGTGCCATTGTCCGAACTGAAATTTGACAGAACTATTTTTTTATGGAGATTTAAACCATCTTAAGAAGTGCCCGGAAAAAAAATTTGAAAGTCAGAAAAATGGACCACCCTAATACATATATTTATAGCCATTTGAATTGCGCGTCGAAATTTTTCCAGGCTTTTAAAACACAAAAGAACTACTGTAGTAAAATCACAATTAAATTTGATGCTCAATAAACATCTATTAAAGAAGTTCATATGCTAGAAATTTGTAAATAAATAAATTTATTTATAAATTTATTACTATATATTAATTAATTTATTAATTTTATTAATTAATTTATTACCTAAACTTTTAGACAGACCAATAATTAATATACTAATTATAACTATATAATTTAATGACACACATACATATAGCTTTATTCTAATTATAACTAAATATCCAAATAGCATTCGTGTTTAAAATCGAGACTTAAAACATCTTAAAAATGTTTTTAAATGTCTTTTAGACTATGTATATAAAAATTGTCTTAAACATGTTATCAATTATATCCCAATTTGATGTTGTTTGGGTTATAAGACTACGAAGAATGTTTAGTTTATATTTGGTTATTAAAACTACTTAAAACTTTAGTTCGACTATTGTCAAAATATTTTAAGTAAAATATCGCGGCTATAAGTTTATCATTTAGCGCCAAAAATTTTTTCTAGTGCACAAAAAATTTTTCGAGGTATACGTGCTTCTTCGTCTTTTGTATTGTTCATGTCCTTCGATAGTATAGACTGCATGTTAAATAACACAAGCAAGGAGTATCGTTGACAAAGGATATCGGCGTGCCGGTAAGACTCATGAGAAGTCATCGTAAAATGCACGATTCAACAACCGGTCCGCTCTGAAATATCCCGCAGTCTCTATGGGATCGCTGTGCATAGTCGTTACCCTCATGGGACCGCCGTGGAAACCTTCTTTGAAAATTTACGCGTATTCTTATTCTTTCCTTCTCTTACCCATTACACATACAATACACGATACTTTCTCGCTTTCTTTCATTCCGCTTGCGCCTTGCGATTCCATACGCGATTTTGCAACGTGGCTCACGATAATCTCTCTCTCCATCTCCTTGCGCGATATCAGAGATAAACGAATATTACACATTTACACATTCGGTATAGCGCATGATGAATTGGTGAAATAGCGATAATGTTCCTTATCGAAATATCGAAATCATTTTAATGAGAATATCGAGAGATCGATATTTATGATGAAAGCTTTTGCGTCAAATGCATTTGTATATCGCAGTGCCGCGTACGATACGTTGATCACTCCATGTAAATTTTGACAGATGAAAAGTATTATTATTTTGAAAAAACAAATGAGATATAAATATGGATGAGATTTGGTACAACTATATTATACTAAACGAGTGAATAGAATACCGTTTAACTTTCTTTGAATTTCAAGAGGAAGCGTAATACATGATCATGAATTGCATAACGAATTGCGTCTCTTGAATATCTTAACATACATATGTGGAATTGCACCTGCTGTATGCCAATGTTTGCGTTTAGTTATTGCAGCAGTTTGTCGTTCGTTAGCCTGGTAAAACAAAGAAGAGGGCCTTGCCACACAATTTAAATATACCGGAAAATGACGCATAAAAATAGTATCCGTTTTATATATTTCGCGCGGGAATAATGACAAAGTTCTAGGTATTTCTCAAAATATTCATACATTCGAAATTTACGCCTTGGTAATATCAATGTGAATACCGAGATCATTCTTGGAAATGTTCATTCTTTAATTATAGTCGAAACGATGAAAGCGAGAACTCTCTCTGGTTAATTCGAGAGTGCGAAAGTTTTATCAGATATTTCATTAAATTCTACGAATTTGTTTATTCTACTAATTATCTAATAATTCCACAAGATAATTCCTTTAGACTTTTTCTCTTTGAGAACAAGATAATGTACTCGTCAAATACTTAATATTTTATCCATTTTAAAGAAAGTTTGATACATAATTTTAACGTAAAATTTTTTCCTTTACAATTTTTCTAATTACAATAAGTATAAAAAGTAAAGTATCTCCGTAAATTTTTGTTTTAATCAAAGTTTTAATACAAGGGCTATCTGAATCCAACACGATTAAAGATGCGTACCTCCTTTAAATAATAATATCTTAATTAATAATAATAAAAAGTAATAACATCTTAAATAATAATATCTTTATTTCATAATTATAATATAAAGATAGTATATTACAACAAATGTATGTTTCGGCTCCGCTTTGAGTTATCTTCAGCATTATAAATTAAATATAAGAAATCGTATCTCACGTTCTTAGGACAATCAGAATAAGTCTTCTACTGCCTATTCCAAAAGTACTATCTCATAAAATGTTGGCTAATAATTCAGGAATGGAAAACTTTGATAGTTAACGTTAGAATGCAGTCAAACATTGAAATACAAAAAATTCTTTTTGTTTCCTTAAAATAGGTGAAGTATAATTGTAGCAATTCATTTATTTCTTTAACCTTTAGATTGCCGGGAAAGCCACTTTTATAACTTTTGAGTGTAATTTAAAATACCATCATTTTTCGTAATATTTTCAATATTAATATTATATTAAACATAATTGTATATATGTTACCCGAAATATATAAAAAACTATAAGTATTGAAAAATATACAAAAAATTTAAATATATGAAAAAGTAGAAAAGTTATAAAACAAAAAGTGAAAAAAATACAAAAATAAATTTAAAAAACTAAATAAAGAAAAATCAAAAACGAATTTTTTGCGTCCATGTCGTTCTTTGGGTAATGCTAAACGAAAGTTCTCTGCATGAATTCTCTCCATACGTTCATATTCACTTATGTTGTTAATATATTACGCTTAGGACTCGAAATTTTATAAATCTATGCACAGAATTGGAATCAGCGATACCAAAAACCCCCAAAATATACTGTTTTTGAGAAAATAAACATTTTTTATTTTGCACAATGTGTGTGTTATTTATATAGAAAAATTTTTGAGAAAAAGAATTTCACTATTTTAATGAAAAATGCCAGCAGTCTAAAGATTAAGGAGATTTGATACACTTGTATGATTGCATGGGACTATTGCATACATGCAAAAATATATGACCCAGAAGTGAGTAGCATGTGCTTTACCTGCTAGTTTAATTAAGTAGTTAACTTGTTGAGACACGGAGTAGAGAGTGGCCAACAGGAATAGTCGTTTTGTCGCGACGAAAGAACATCGACTGTTTTGTCACATGTGCAGTGATAATTTGATTGTGCTTAGAGACAGGATATGATGTCACGCAGCATCACTGCACTCCAAAGCAGTTAATGTGAATACAGTTTCCCGGGTTGCCTGCAGTCAAATTAGCGGGACGCGAGCATAATCAAACCATCTATAACGAACCAAAATTAGGAGATTACCACTTATTACTTGTTCAATGAGCTAATTGCAATCTGTCAGTTTACATAGCATCTATAGTAATATCCAATGACAATCAATGACGATGTCCGAAGTCGGGCTACAAATTTCACGCTATTACATCGCGCGCATTTGTGAACACAGGAATTATCGATGACACGAGCAACCCTACACATGTATATCGTTTATAGATTTTATTTCACCTTTATTAAACGAATATTAATAAATTTCGTCGTATAACTGGAAACATATCTAGATTGATAATAAATCTACTTAGAACTCGAATAAATACAGTATAATCCAAATGAAATAACATCAACGTAAAGTATTTAAAATCCTGCTTTAAAATCATCTCATATTGATGACAATTAAATTTCAATACTAATCACCGCAATTATAATAGGTTTAAACACGAAAAGGTCTAGCGTAATCCTCGAGTGAGTTGCTATTTATTTAAAAAGAATATAAAGTTTTTATTATTACGAGCAATTATTGTTATTATGAGCAATATATTAGATAATAAAACATGAAATAACTTTAACCCTAGAATGCTGTCGATATATAAATTTTATGTACAAATGAGCGAGACTATTATGAGCTAAGCTGGACCAGTCATTAAAAAATTTAATCTATTAATTACATTAAAAGCTAGGACAAGCGGAAACAAGATTTCTAAGATTTCTTTCTTCTGACCATTATACCAGTTTGAATCTCTTGGTGATCAGTAGGTATTATACAGAAAGTATGGTAAGTAATTTCAATTTTTAAACAGCTTTATGTTATTATTTTGTATTTTAGAAAAAGTATTCTGGATTAAAAAAATCGAAACTTTTTATTTGTTAAATTCAAGTTTATTTTTGACCGACAATTACAGTGTATCTTTTATGTTCGAATAATAAATGTCCTCGTTGCGGATCGGTTTGTCAATCTCCGTGATCTTTCCAAAAGCTTGATGTTTCATATTTCCCTTGGAACAAGGATTATTCCTTTAAAGGAATAACCTTTTGTCAATTCATTCGATGAATTGGAATAATATCTTGCTCCATTGCATACCGAACATTCATTTAATATAGTCGAGGCAAATATGACAGAGCGGGAAACAGTTCATTTATTTCTTTGTATAGTAAAAAATCTTATAAGAAGCTATGTAGAGACGAAAAAATTCGTTATTTTCGAGCTATAACTGCTAATATAAAAAATATATATAATTGCTAATTAAAAAAATTATTCATTTGGTCTACATATCTTTTTTAAAGCAATTACGTACTTTTTTTATATCAATTAATTTATCTCTTTATTCCGTTCATAAAAGTATTAGAATATATTTACCAAAAAATTAAAGTTTATAAGATATATTTAATAATATTTTATTGCAATATTTATCAAAATAAAATATAATGTCTCTCTCCTAGTTTTTTTGGTATCTTTATACTTTCATATACAGAATAATTAGAAGAATCGTATTAAAAGAAATATAACTTTACTAAAAAAAAATTCATTTAAAAAATTTTAGATTTTAGATCTTGAATTTAGATTTGAACCTTGATTTGATCGTAAGACTATCTTTTTAAGATCAAACAAAATCATTATCTTTTTGTCTCCTAGTAATTGAATAACATTTATCTGAAACATTTTATCTTTTTTTTTTTTTTTTTCGAGTTATTGGACAATTGAGTTAGTCAATAAAGATCGTTTTACAATATATTTTTCGTATAAGGAGGTGACAATAAACTTATTTGACATTTCAGAAATGTCATAGTTGTTTCTTTTAAAAATATCCAATAATTTCAAACACAATACGTTTTATTCTTAAAAAGAAACATTAGTCTTTACTACCATAATAATGAAATTAATTCTACTTGCCAGTAAACAGTTCTTTTTTTTTCAATTGATTATGTGTTTGAATATTAAGCGTGATTCTTTCTTCAAGATAGTCCGAGTAACCATTCCAGTCAATTTTAATAAATGATGACGAAGTCTTAAATATAAAAGTATCGCTGAAAATCGAAACAACTAGAAAGTGATCGGAGCTGATATCAAGACATATATCTCAACCTCAATATAATAATAAACCTCTAGTAGAAGAAGAAATCAATCACATCGGGATGTTTAAATCAGTAAGTAGGACTGCCACTGGAAAGAAACTTACACTTTAATGATTTTCCTGCATAAAATAGTGCTTTACCCTTGGTTGAAATAAATCTGCTGCCATGGGTGTGTATTGATGCAATAGATGTGATATTGATGATTTATGTCTTTTACATTGAATATTTACAGTGCAGGCTTGGATATTTTACAAAGACTACGTTTTAGGTTCTTCATGATTAATGTTTGTTCGAATTAAAAGAGCAGCTCCTCCTCTAGCTTTGTTAGATGAATAATATGATAAATCTTGAATTCATGTAGATTGAAGTTCCCTGATAAAATGAATGAAGTTCCCTGATAAAAGTTTTAGAGATTAGATATGTGTCAATTTTTTATATTTCCAGAAAGACCTCTAATTTGTTTTTATGTTGACGCAGGCCGTTTGTATTCCAAGTATTGCTATTCTAATTAAACCCATCATTTTTTTCTTCTTTTGTCTAGTTAACTATCTATCGTGTCAAATTTCATTTTGTTAATTATGCTGATCTAGGCGACTAATAAGATTTTCCAGAGTTCCAATTATTTTTCAATCAAAGCAATTTCCTTTTCAATTAAAGAAATAGTTGTTGGATAGATCTTAAGATTCTGTTCAACATAATCAGTATAAGTATCTCTATCTTTTTTTTATCAGAGTGACTTGATTACTGTCAGTCCTTCCTCAGTTCAGATTGTCTTTCTCTCACTATTCGTTTAGATTAAATATTAACCTTTTTCCATTGGTTTCATTTTTAAGTTTTTACAGTTCTTTCGCAATGCAATTCCTTTACATCCTCTGTAGTTAGCAGTGTGGGCCTCCTTACAATTGGTACAAGTAAGTTTGGAATCTTTGGGTTAGGTTAGTCAAGATATGAAGCATATCTTGAGAAGTGTTCCCCAGCACATTTAACACAATAGACTCTTTTATGACAGCTACTACGAACATAGTTATAGCCTTGACAATTTTTATAATGAACAATTCTATTTGTATTTTTAGAAATTGCTTCAATTTTGATGACTGAAAAGACAATAGCCCTAATATTATTTATCTTATCAATTGACTCCGAGTTTTCGAATATGGGCAAGAAAAATCTGAATTTAATTTGAGTTTTAATCGTCTTTTTTTCATTAGTTAAATCTTTTTTGTACTCATTCTGGATATTTACTGCTAATATAATTTTAAAGCCATTTGTCTTTAAATCATCGACGATGGCAATAGGATCAGCAGCTGGGTCAAGTCCTCTTATCATTACTTTGAAATGGATATAGTGAAGCCGTGGATGGAAACTATGACGGAAGGCCATATGTTTTTCAGCAGGATGGCTTCATACGAGTCATTTGATTCAAAATTGATAAAAATTCTTAGACAATGTCGATATATTTTGATCCAAGATCTGGCTTTCCAATAACTCAGATTTAAATCCCTTGGATCTACTACGTATGGAGCATAGAAACCTTGAAAAGGTCACAAACAAGTCATTCCAATGTGATGTCATTAAGGATCGCTATTGAGGCAATATTCATCGGACAATCGTTACATTACAGTGTGCGAACGCTTCAGAGAATAGAGGTCATTCAAGCTAATGGAGGATACATCAAATTGTGCTTTACAGGGATTCCCCAAGTGCCATGTAGAAGGATTTTTTGTAATATTTAATTTTTCATTAAAAACATTTTATTTAAAGAAATTGTTCGATTTGTCCGGATTTTGGTGACTCTATAGAATAAAAATACTAAAGTATATAATCACAGAAATGATTCCTGAATAATATTTAAATATAAAATAATAAATTATAAAATGTATATAGGATATATCATTTTAATTGACGCACTAAAATATTTCTTGAATAGTGCATTTTAGAGAAAAATATTTCAGACAAAAGTTATATGGATTAGAGGGAGACATAAGATGGTATTATTTATTTGACTTTGGAAAATTGTTTGAAGATCACATAAAGGTCATTATCAATTTCTTAAATGAAATTCCATATCATTGCATATTCTTATAGCTTACCTCGAGAGTTTTCCAAAACACTATAATTAAATTCATTTTCATTAAATATTTTTCGAGTTGTAAAGCTTGCAAATTATAGTACCGCCGGCATTAGCATTATCCAAGGTGTCCAATTGACGGCTAAAACTTCTTAAATGTTGTTCAAGATTATGATCTGGATAACATTTGTCAAAATCAAGGTCATTGGAGGTTGTTCTTCTTATTTTCTTTTTTGTACTAAAAAAAATTAGATTTCTATATATTAGGTGTACTTTGCTTCCGCCGTTTTTTTTCCGAAATTCGAGGCTTTATTGTAAAAAACTGGTTATACATTTATGATTCAAAGTATTGTCCATCGCTGGCCACTACTTTCTCCCATCTTTCGGGTAGCGTACGAATCACGCGTCGAAAAAAATGGTCATCTTTTGAGGCTATCCACGAATCGATCCAATTTTTTATTTCTTCATAAGACCGGAAATGCTGGTCAGCCAGGCGTGTGCCATTGATCAAAACAAGTGATAGTCAGAGGGAGCAACATCTGGAGAATATGGCGGGTGGGGTAGGACTTCCCATTTCAACATTTCCAAGTATGTCTTGATCACTTTCGCAACATGGGGTCGAGCATTGTCATGCTGCAAACGTGTCTCTCGTTGTATTGCGGCCGTTTGTCTTTCAATGCTCGGCTCAAACGCATCAATTGCGTTCGATACCGATCGCCTGTGATTTCAGTCGGTTTTAACAGTTCATAATACACTACGCTGAACTGATCCCACCAAATACAGAGCATGATCTTGGACGTCAAAATCACTGTTCTTGAAGCGTTGAAACTCACGACACGTTCTTTCACTAATAGCGGCCTC